AATAACATCTTTAATACTACATATTGAATAAGAATTGATGAAGCTTTAGAAGTATAAAGCGAAACGTCTTCTATAAACTTATAAAGTAGTTGACTTCTGTTTTATATTTTGCCAACCTGAATGACCGATTCATCACGTCAATCACTTTCAACAAAGTGCTTAGAGCAAACACGAGCAAATTTAACATTAAAATTATCCTGGCGTTTACACAAATGTTTCCAAACAGCTTGCATTTCCTTGTCTTTTGGAAAGCTATAAAATGCTGTACCGGGTACAAAACTCTTGCACATATTGTCAACGGCACAACCATACACTGCACACCTCATATCGGGAAAAATTTAAAGCCTTGTAACACTTTTAAAATATTATTTTATTAAATATTGGCTATGAACCGTAAATGTACATAAACGTCAAAACACAATATGGCGAAATTTAGCACAAGTTGACGTCACAAAAGTCATGCATAAGCCACGCCCACATGCGCGGTATCTTATCTGTTTGTATTTGTATCATGATTTTGATGTGATGAAAATGAAAAACACAGGGTTGCCAGTGTTGCCACAATACAGTTGCGTTCACCAAACTCGATGGGAGTATTCGAATACTGGAATCGAGTAGTATCCGATTCCTTACAGAATCCAATGTACTCCACAGATCACGTTATTAGTGGTCTTCTGTGATGCATGATACTATGAATAACAAGATAGGATCTTCCCGTAGCTCAAAATCGGTCGGGTTCGCGCATGCCGTCATTGAAGACCAGAATTTGAATTCTTGTTAAAGTTAAATGAGATTTGTATGCATTCTGTGATGAAATTACTAGACGAAAATAAGTTAAGAGGTTTAATAATTACAATAATCGTACACATAAGGATATCTCCAAACTATTTATTAAAGATTATTTATTCCATCCAATGGCACTACAGCCCAAGCCGGGCCTTGGCCTCCTTCATTAAACCTCTCCAAACATCTCTATTTACTGCTGTTCTTTTCCATGAACGCGTTTTTAGGAGATTTTTGGCATCCTCATCTACCTCGTCTTCCCATCTCTTTTTTGGTCTTCCAACAGGTCTTTTTCCTTGCATTCTTGCGTTTAGTAATTTTCTGGGGATTCTGTTCTCATGCATGCGGGCCACATGCCCTGCCCATCGTAATCTCTGCAGTCTAGTGTATTGTGCTAGTGTTGGTTCAGTGTATTGTTCGTATATTTCGTTATTATATCTAATTCGCCAGTTGTTATTTTCCTTTATTGGACCCAGTATTCTACGCAATATTTTTCTTTCGAACACGTCTAATGCATTGGTAGATTTCTGTGTTATAACCCATGTTTCACACCCATAACTTACTATGGGTCGGATTATTGTTTTATATACCCGGAGTTTTGTTTTCCGGTGTACGTCTCGCGATTTGAATATGTGGCCCATCGCGAAATAGGCTTTGTTTGCCAGCATAAGCCTTCTATTTATTTCCGGTTCTTCTTCATTATTTTCGACCAGATCCATTCCTAAATACGTGAATCTATTCACGTATTCTATATCGTCTATAAATTGTTGTTGTTGCGCCTGTCTATTTGATCTGGTTTGTATGAGTAGTTTTGTTTTATTTGTATTTATTGTTAGCCCTACAACTTCTGAACTCTGTTTCAACTGAACGTAGGTTTCTTCTGCCGCAGTCTTTGTTCTGCTCATTATGTTTATGTCATCTGCGTATGCTGCTAATTGGGTAGATTTGTTTGTAAGTATGTTATTTCTGCTCACCGTCAACCGTCTAATTACATATTCAAGAACAAGATTAAAAAGTGTTGGAGCCAGTCCGTCACCTTGTTTCAGTCCTTGCGTTGTCATAAACGCATCAGTGATCTGTCCTTGAATACATACATGTGCTTCTGTTTCTGTCATTGTCATTTGCACTAGTCTTATTAATTTTGATGGTATGCCAAATTCTTGTAATATATTAGGTAGTATTGTTCTATCTATTGAATCATAGGCTTGCTTGAAATCTACAAAGAGATTGTAGACGTCTATGTCATATTCCCATGCTTTGGCTAGTATTTGTTTAACTGTAAATAGTTGGTCAATAGTAGATCTATTTTGCCTGAACCCTGCTTGATATTCCCCGATAATTTTTTCAGTGAGGGGTTGAAGTCTTCGATTAAGAATGTTTGTGAGTATTTTGTATCCCGAACAAAGTAAAGAGATGCCTCTATAATTCTGGCATAACAGTTTGTCTCCTTTTTTATGAATAGGGCAGATTATACTTTTCTTCCATTGTTGTGGGATTTTTTCTTCTCTCCATATTTCTTGTATAAGCTGGTACATCTGTTCTGTCAAATTTGTTCCTCCCTGCTTGAACAGTTCTGCCGGTATCTTATCTATTCCCGGCGCTTTATGGTTTTTTTTGCATTTGGATTGCTGTTCGAACCTCCTCTAGCGTTGGAGGTCTAGCCAATTCATTATCTTCTCCATCTTCCCACAGCTCCTGTTGTTGACCTTCCTGTTCTACCTGCTGCTGCCGCTGTTGTAGTGGTGTTTGTGCCCTTTCGTTTAATAATTCCTTAAAATACATCATCCAGGTTCTCTTAATTTCGTCCATATCGCTAATTATTTCCCCATTCTTATTTTTGCATAGGCTAGTCTTCGGTTTGTAACCCTGTCTTAAATGTTTGATAAGTTGGTATGCACTGCGTGTTTCGTTTTCCTTGAACGCCCTCTCTATGTTTAGTATCCGGTTGTTTTCGTACCGTCTCTTTTTCTGTCTGCATAGTTTATCAGCTCTTCGTCTTTTATTCTCAAATTCTGTCCTTCTCTCTCTAGTTCGTCTGAGTATGAAATTCTTATGTGCTTCATTTCTTTCGTGAATAGCTTGTTTGCATTCTTCATCGAACCACTGTTCTTCTCTCCGTTGAGTGTTTGTTCCAAGAACTTCTTGTGCCGTGTTTAGTATGATAGTGCTTATGGTGTTCCAATGATTTTCTATTGTGAGTTCTTCTATGTTTTCTTCTAGTAATTTTTCACTCACTGTTCTCTCAAATCTTTCTTGTACCTCAGAGACTTTTAGGTTATCTAAGTTTAGTTTTTCTTGTTTCGGATATTTTTCCTTTGCTTGTCGACTGATTTTACATCTGAACCGTATCTGTACTAGTAGATGGTCGGAGTCACAGCTTGCTCCACGCCTACTTTTTACATCTAATATACTTGTGGCCATTCTTCTTTCAACCAGTACGTGGTCTATTTGATTGACTGTGTTTCCGTCAGGTGATATCCAAGTGCCCTTATGTATGTCCCGATGTGGGAAGCAGGTCGAACTGATAACCATATTCTTTCCAGCTGCGAAGTCTATTAGAAACTGACCATTCTCATTTGTCTCTCTATGCAGACTATGTTTCCCTATTACCCCTATGTACTCTTCTTCTTTTCCGATTTTGGCGTTTGTGTCACCTATCACCATTTTAATGTCGTTTCCTGGTATTGAGTCATAGATTCTTTCTAGATCTTGATAAAAAGCTACCTTAGTGTCTTCTTCCTGTTCATTTGTAGGGCAGTGTACATTTATAAAGGTTACGTTAAAGAAATGAGTTTTTATCCTAAGCTTGCAGATTCTTTCATTGATGGCTTGAAAGTCTGTTATCAGGTGCTTCATTGTATTATCTACGATAAAGGCTACTCCGAGTTCTTTATTTCCTTCATCTTTACCGCTATACAGAATAGTATGAGTTTTAGTGTCTCGGATACCTTTTCCCAGCCATCTAGTTTCCTGTACTGCAGTGATTCCAATTTTATATCTCTTCAGTTCGTGTAGAAGAATCCTCTGTGCTCCTGGTCTATTTAGTGTTCTGACATTCCACGTTCCCAGCAAAAATTCCATATTCCGTTGCCAAAGTCGTCGTCTTGATTTCCGTCCATTCCGAGGCCCTTCTGAAGGTTTCGTAGTAGTACTTTTTTACAAGGATAGGTTACTGGCCTATCGCCCAACCCTCTTTTCGGAGGGCCATTTCTCCCTTCCTCGTCAGCCCTGACCCTGCCTTCCACTGGGGTTAGTTACCCAATCTCCAACAGGGCTGCTCAGGTTCTCCGGGGTTCACCCGTGCAGCCTAAGCTGCACTTCGTGGAGGTGAGGATAGGAATTGAGTAGGAGTGGCTAGAGGTGCTATCAGGAAGCAGCACCTTGTATTGCGCGTCACTACTCATTTGAACCCCAAGATTATTTATTGATATATACAAAAACTGACATTTCGAATGTGCAAGTCTCCAATGACGTCACAAAAACATGCGCAATATCTTATCTTATAGTTATAGTATCATGCTGTGATGTACTCGAACTGGAAACTGATTGAGTACGGAATTAACCATAATATTTTATATTGTTATTTATGTTATTATATTTAACAATGTTAATATAATTATTGACAGCTAATTTGAGGCTATTTTCAATGGAACCAAATGTGAAAATCGTCCATGTCCATTGTATAGTGTGTCTATGATTGCCGTAAGTCAAATAAACCGGGTTAATTTTTCTATGTACACCACATAAACAACACTGCACTGGTTCCCTCTAAAACGTGGCGGAACGTCTGCGGCGTCTGCGCGAAGGAGATGCGCGTACTTAGTTCTCCATGGAGAGTGGGCATTCTGATTGTTTATTATTCTGTGCTCAAGCTAAGCGAATGGGCCTTAGGAATTGTTGAATTTGTATGTTTCCGACAATGAGTCTGTCACAATATTCCCGAGTTGAGCTAATGGACTATACAATGTTTTGAAGACGCCGAAATTAACCGCGTTACATGCATTATTAATTCAACATAAAAATATAATTAAAATAAAAATTCAAGTTAATTTTTTTAAATTTAGTTTCATTTTAAGTTTATTTATTTTATTTAATTTACAAACAAATATTGTAATCTTCGCGAAATATGTCGGATGGCGGGATCTTAGTCAGAAACACAGAATGTAAATTTACTATTTGCGCCATCTCTACAATGGAAAGTAAAACAAAACTTCCTCAGTTTTGTTTGAGATCTGTTTGTGGGTGGGTGTATTTGCTCCAGTTATTTGGATTAACAATTATTTTGAAAGGTAAAAAACAATCATGTACTGTTTAATATTTGACTGAAAACATATACTAACTTTACTTAATTCATTGTATACTCGTACGAATAGAAAAACCGTAATATTCATGTTATAAAAACAAATGGAATATTGACGTTTTGGTTTAGGACTTCTGTGAATGTTTTTCTTTGTAGATGTGATGGAAATATATCATGTTTATTGCATATTTACAGAAAATTTATGTTTTTATGAACTGTGTAATTTTCATGATTTATTTTAATATTATTTTCCTTGCATTTTATTGTGACCCTTACTGCTGGACTGTAGACTGTAGCTTATTCATGCTTTTACATATTTATGTATTCTAAGAATAAAGATTGATTAGCTTTTGAACGGGGATGCGTTTTTAATCTTCCATGACTAATTGGTATTTATTTTAAACTGACAATTAATATACATGAATGTAGAATATCTTGGAATCTAGAAGTAACATGTAAAAGGATTATTTATATTTACACGCCTAGTTGGTGACTGAATTTTAAAGACAAATTTAGATTTTTAGGAAATATAATTACCTATGCAAAATTCATTAAATTTTACGTACACAACATTTTTCGTATACCTACTTTAAAATTTTAATACTGTGAAAGTATTAAAATATATTATTTCTGAATACCTAAATGTTAAGATGAATTTTAGTATGAGATAAGTATAATACTATGCCTCTATATTCTTTAATACTATATACCCTTTTCTATTAGAAGTTTTACAGAAACTTTATAATAGGTCAAAAATTTCAATTATTGAGTAATAAAATAAAATATTAATAAAAGGAAAGATACTGTTTTTATCAAGGCATAAATAATTACTCAGTATCATGGAAAGAAGATCTGTCAATTATTTAAGAAAAAGTAGATAAATGGGATGAGAGGGATGATAACACCACCAGTAATATATACCAAGTTTCAAGACTCATTGATAGGGGCTCAGAGAATAATTTAAAGCAGTAAAAGACATGAAAGAAGCACATAATCCAAGGCAGCTTCTGATATAGTAGGGTTTGAGGAAGTGTAGTTTAAAGTGAAAACTAATCCAAATTACTAGAAGTACTGAAAGATTAAATAAACTTATTTTAATGTAAAATTGTGGCTCATTCTCAACAAAAATAGTAAATTGCATTAAGTTGCCACAAAAAAATAACTTGAGGACAATATTAAAAAACTAATCCAATTTTTTTTTATACAATATTTAAATAAATTTAAATCAATTTTTAAAATATTGACTGGAAAGAACCCCCGCACTTTTCTTTTTAAAAGTGGTTACAATTAAATTGGCTCAAACTTTGTAAAGAGGTAGCTTTGGTCATGCTGATAAAAAGTTATCCATGGGCCAAGACTCAAAAATTAGTTATTTCTGAGTTACTGAGGCATTTGTAAAATCGAAAATCTATGACTATTTGTGTCAAATAAACATACTGTCACTAATCAGAGTTTGAGTACTCAATGTCACTCAGGCATATAGAAGCAGACCAGGGAATTTAATTTCACTTTGTCCGGCACTTGGGGGCTTCAGATCCCTTAAGCTTTGGCACTTTAGGTCAGGCAAGTGCCAGGTTGGGTGCTTCAGCACTTCAGGTGTTTAATTATAAAATGTATGGTTTAAAAAAATGACTGACACTATTTTTTGATGAAAAGTTCTATTGTGGTCTCATTAATTTCAGCCGATGCTTCAATTCAGAATCAAAATTAGAAATTAACTGTTTAGCATCAGCCTGAAGGTCCAACGCCATTGGTGGTAGCATTTATTATCAATTTCAGTTAATTTAGATTAACTAACAGATCTTCACGATATGACAGAACTGTAAATAATCATTTTATGTAATTTTCTGCTGTTGCTTGGTCATTTTACGCATAGCAACACAGGACATGATACAATATACTGTTTTTACACATTAAATTTTTAAAATTGTAACCTGATGTACTTTCTGAATTTTACACCTTATGTAATTATTTATCGACGATAAACTTCAGTTCTGATTACCTAAAAGGTAGGCATATACAAATTTACTAATCATCAATCATCATTTGCTTTGACACATTTCGAGAACGGATCACTTTTGTTGGTTTTTCTTCATCGTGAAACATTTACACAGCAGATTGTCATTTATTTTCCAGTCCGTAGGAGTAAATCCAAGATTCATCGCCACTAACAATACTATAAACGTTTATTGACTTTCCTTTGTTGAACCTTTGCAATGTTTTTCGGCACCAATTTACGCGAACCAACCGTTTTGCTGTTCTGTGAGCAAATGAGGGATCCAAAACCAACTTCAGAACACCCCATTGTATATTATATCCATTCTGCTAGCTTCGGTTACTTCTCCTCTGCCTCTTGCCCTCGTAGCCTGTCTTCTGATGCCAATGCATTCCTTCCGGCGATCTCTCCACTCCACCAGCGGTGGTTGATTCTTCAGTCCAGTGGTGCATTGCACCCATACTCCGCCAAGGCTATAATCTCCTTCGGTTCGCCCCTTCCTTAGGGCATCGGTTGAGACCCGCTTTTCCCCTTGGACCATGCACCCTTTGACACGATGGTGTTACACCTTGAGGTTGGGGTGGCGATATATTAGAATGATGCATAGCTGCCTGTCCTATGCATATCCATTTGTTCGCAGTGGTTTTTTCCACTGGTTTTTGTATTAGTGGAGGTTTTCTCCTCGGGTATAGGTTTGGGTATCAGGACGTGTATGATGGATAGGGGTGGTTGTAGTACGATAGTTGGGAGTTTTTGCTATCACACAGAGACCGGTTAGGAATTTGGGAAGTAGACAGCGGACACCTGCCTAATTCAGTCGCCTTTTACAACAAGCAGGAGAAGCCGTGAAGGTATTCTACTTGAGGTTCTTCCAATGTAGATGACATTTTATTTGTCGTTTTATTTCTCAAATAATAATGTTTAATGAGAGATCTAAAATCGGTTTTCTTTGTATGCGTCATTTTTCTAAATACCTCAAATTTCTGCATCTGTCAACAATGGCTGCATCGCACTAAAATTTGACATATATCTCTAAAATAGTTAGACTTTGTAGAACGAATGTTTGTTTTTTCATATAGCGACGCCCTAAATGGCGAACCTGATACAATGTTGATGTGTGTATGAGGTTGTGATTATCTTTAATTAAATACATGCTGAGATAACAGGCAACATATTATAAAATATTAAATTATCTCGAAATATCTTCTTGTTCAAGTATTCCTTTCCTTTTCTTTAAAACATATATGTTTTCTACTTTTCTTGTATAGCAGCTTTAATAATAAAGTAAATGAAGAAAATGAAAGTTTCTCACACTTTAATATCAATAATTGTATAGTTTAATAAAAACAAGGTTACATAGTATTAAGTGCAATATATTGATTGAAGATAATATAGGCAATTTTGTCATCAAATACTTAAGACTAAAATAAATAATACTTATTTCATTCATACTAACCGTGTCAGAATTAATATTATGGACACCATTGTTCTATATTCTTAAATAAAGATTACACATGGAAATTTTTAATTTAAATATAATTTTTATGACATTTATCTGCGTTTCTAATCTAATATGCTATGCGCAGAGTGTCTATGTATAACATGATCAAACTGATATAAGTAACTGATCAAACAAAAAACTTCATTCTTCTTTCTAATCTGATCCTGGGTAGTACCATATAAAAACTCTGATCCGGAGTGTACGGTTCATTACAAGATCATTATATTATTGTTTGTATTGTTCAAATAATTAAACAGACTCAGGCCTTATTATTACATATGTATAGTTTGCATTGTTTTACTACAGCCGACCATGTTTTTTCTGTTATTTGCGTGCTTTTTCCAATCTCTGATTTCTAATTCTATTAAATCTTGATTAAAGGCGTCCATCCATCTCTTTCTTGACCTTTCATTTGGAATTTTCTATCTTGCTCTTTACTTGGTACTTTTTTTTGCATTTATCATTCATCACTTGTGTAATCTCCTACTTAACTTCATCATTTACTTCACATTTCTTCTACAATAATTGGTCTATTACAAATTCTATATATTTCGTGGGTCATCCATATTTTTCGTTTCCTATTCTCGTGTATGTGTCCATATATCTCTCTTATAATTTTTGTTTCCTATCTGATCACTATTTTTATTTCCTTCATTAATTACACAGACCGACAAGTCTGAGACGCAGGCTCCAAATTGGCTCTGTTGTCTGAGATATTGGCTCTTCAGTAAAACGCAGCGCAGGTTTAAATTAATACAAATATATATACTTATATATATATATATATATATATATATATATATATATATATATATATATATATGTATTAAATATATTTTTATTAATTCCATAAGTAGTTTTGTTTTTTTTTGTTTTTCTCCATATATGGGCAATATTACGCATTCAAAATCTGTTTAATTATTTACTTCCTTATAAAATACATTTATTTATGTTGTAACATTAAAATAAAAAGGAAAATATTTTAAAAAATCCGCTAGTAATTAAATAGTTAATCATGGGTCCATTGGACCTACCTCGACTAACGACGTTCAGGCAGGTCGCGCGACTAATGAAGGGTTAATATCTGCTCGTTTTATTATTAAAAACGTTATTATACGATCTTCAGTAAGAGTTTTAAACCAAACGTTTATTGTAATACTTCTCACGCTTATCGTCTTGTAAATATTTCTCTTTTTAGATATCTACATCAAAATCCTAGTTCAAGCCCATTCTAAATAAATTCTTTTGTTAAACTATTTTATTTAAACAGTGAATTATAATCTTAAAATTTTTTGTGATATAATTTTTCATTCTTAGTGGTACTGAATATGTTTTATATTCTTTTGTATTATCTAACAATGTTTATTTTTATAATAAATTAATCATGTCACTAAAAGTCAAGTATTTATTCCAAGGAAATTAATATCATACTTATATTGCATACAAATTGACTTAATGCAAATTTCTTACCAATATCTTTTATTAGATGTAG